AATTGCAACCTGGAGACTGGTTGCCTTGACCGAATTTTTCATGAGTTTCCTCAGTCTCTCCAGACAAATGCCAGAATACACCTTAAATTAGGCCACAATCTCTTATGTCTGTATACTTTCCATTACATTAATCATTTATCATCCTATCATCTGACACTACATAAATACACGTACCTCTAAATCCTTTGATTTGTACTAAAGAGAAAGCATGGTGATGGAAATACATTATTATTCATTATGTTAAGTCAAGTTAACCACTTTAAACTGTAGTAGTTGTTAATTTTATCTCCCTAATAATATTTAGTAAGGGTACAATATACGAAACTCCTCAATGTGCAATTTTTTCCATCCTCCTAATATTTCCACTTTCTTTAGTTGAAATATTATCCTTTATACCCTATTTTCAAACACCTCTAGGTTCTCCCCCTAATGGTGACAGAATACAAACACCCTCTATATCAAGAGACATTCACACCTACCTACATAAAACAGGTCAAATTATGATCTTTGTACAGTTTAATATTTATGTTCTAAATAAGGGATAGTAGCATAAAAGATTCTGAACTGAATGACAGCATTTGACAAATTTAATCTGTTCTGAAGTACTTCAAGAATGTAAATTCTATTTGTTACTGCACTAATGATGCAGACAATGATATTTACCGACAAGTCCACATAATGTTACAACTCAGAAGACAAACACTGACATCTCTGCCCTTGTAAGAACTTCAAATATTATTTACTGGATTAAGCTCAAAATTTATTGAAAATTCATTCATGCATTCTTAAGTTATCATGTGGCTGAAACTGTAGTTCGCAAGGCCCGACAAATTATAACATGACCCCTCTGACTGAAAGACATGGCTGATGTGTATAGGCCCATATATTCTTCACTTTGGCTAAATTTAAATAACACTTACAAACCAAGATAATGGATAATGCCAAATAATTAAAACTTATTGTAATATACCTCAATTAAACACATTCAGAAATAAACTTGTCACATGTATTAGCTCCACCTGCAATGACAGAGGAATGTTTCAATACTGGCAGTTTTATATGTGGAATTGTAGCTTCAATGGCACAATACTGGTATAATAAATTATTCACGGGCTACCAGCCATGTCAGGTGACACGGCTGGTAGCCCGTGAAGAATTTATTATACTTAATCTCCGTGAAAGCTTTAAATCATACAGAAGACTGGTATATTTAACTGCCACTTAAGAAAATAATTAAACAAGCACAAAATTATAAAGCAACTTGCTTAGGCCATATGCATTTTTGTCTTAGGTATCAGTTAACTGTCATTAATTATACCTGTCATAACAACCACACAGCAATAACAAATGTAATTATATTTTGCGTATTTCTATCATAGCCCGTAAACTTGGTCAGTGGTATGATATGCTGCTTTGAAGCATATTTGTTCCAATCCATCTCTCAAGCACAAGATAAGAGAACCGATATTGTCCATTTGCATGTATAAAGACCATTAAATCATAAACTTATGCACGGACGTGAAGTCGACCATCTCTAAACGAAAAACAATAGTTCGACGCAATGAAGTGGAGTCGTTTCTGTATAGATAAGAAACATGAATCAAAATACACTGGACTTAATATCTCAAAATTCTATGCGTGCAGGCGCGTCAGTGACACAGTAACATTAATAGGACACTAAAAATATTTTAATTAGTTACCTTAAGTGCAGATGCGTGAAGGAGACATAACCTCTAGTGCAACCGACTAAACTTATAATACCAATCACTGCACTTAATAAACGTTAAAATATTTTGGAATATATGTGTTGCGAAATGTTAGTAACCCACAAACACATAATGGGAGCTGTAATTGATCGTCAAAAAAAATAGTGAACATACACGACATTTATACAGATAATACCAACGAACGTAACTAACATTCAAAAACAGTTGAGTATGCACAATTTGAGGTTCCCACGACTGGTATTAACTGTGATCACGGAGAAAAACACAGTAGATACCAACCTAACACACAGTTTTAGGTAGTTCTGACAGAGGTCAGATGGGCTATGAGAGAACGAAGGGTTGTAAGACACCTGGAATATTTGAAATCTGTAACTGGGCAGAAGCATGTGAAGATCCTTATCACATAAAACTGGAGACGGAGAATGACTAAATATAAACCAGTTAAAATTTTTGACAGAACTAACAATAGGTCATGTCTTAAAAGAGCACAAAAATAAATTAAGATTTCAATAATCCTACTGGGAGCAATGTCAACACTAATGAAATGACTGATTATAGTTTCAGTGTTTATGAAGATCTACTATGTTTCAAACACCTGAAGACGACCAATTTGGGTCAAAACATGTAAACATTACAACTATAATAACAATTTGTTGTGTAGGCAGACTGTCAACCCAATGGACTTTACATATACCATGTTATTGTTACTGGTTTGCAGAGCTCAAATATCAATTCTTATTATCTCTAAAACCCTTCTGAATATTATAAGTTGCTGGAATTTATTAAAGGTGCTGGGTTACGGATGTGATAGCTATTGGGAATGCACAAGATCATGACTGGTCATTGTGCTCTGATGGTTTGATGTACCTGATTCTAAAAATCTTTGAGGACACAGCAACACTAGCATCACTTAATATGGGGTCTTAAAATGATGCATCAAAACAGATCTTAAGTATACAAGCAACTTTTGTTGAGGCATTTCATTTATATAAAATGAAATGGCTGCATGAAATCTGTTTAGCTTTAATTTTGATGGTGATAATTAATGATCTATTTGAGCTAGGCATTTCTCTAAAACAAAAAGGTTGTGAGAAATGCCAACATATATTGGATGTACTGAAAAATTATAAGAATAATGCAAGCAAAGTCTGTGCTGCAGTTCTCATCTGCAGAGTGAAAACTGGTATCCACATTAAAACACATACAGTTATATTTCAAAAATACATTTTATTGTTTAAACCTTTGAAATTGGTTCATTCTGATTTTTTTAACCCTTCTGTAGCCATACACTTAGCCACATATAAGATGCTGTCACAATTTATCCTTATTCTTATAACTGTGAGCAGTTTATTTTCAGAAATCCTGAAGGATATTATCAGAGTACTCTATGATTAATTTACAAAAATGTGACAAACAACCAGGATTTTGTGAAAGGCACCACAATTGACAACATGCAAAGTTGTAAGGGCAGTACATGAACATGTTAAATTAAATGAATTATAGTTACAGCAGTTACCAAAATGAGGGCTAGAAAGAAAGAACATCCCCAGTAGCCGACATCTTTGACAATGTCTTATACTAATGTTTGCAACATGAACAAATATTCAAATTCTTTATACAAAAAAAGATCCACTTTTTAAACCCAAATTTTGGAAGCACTCTCATTCTTTTGACATCTCTATATTTGCAATAAGCACACTTCAACAAATACTATTTGCAATTTAGAAGACACTATCACAAACTTACAGTCATAGCAGCAACACTTTTAAAGCTGTTACATCACTGATAATCATTTGTACTTACTACTATTAAAATTAATATGAAACAATCGTAGCTAAAGCTGTATTTTGTTGCTTACTGTTGACTTTTTGCTTTTTACAGTCAACAGTCCTGGAGATGCATTTTTACTTTTGCATGCTGCTTTGCCTTTTGCCCTGAAACAAGAAAAACACTGTACCTTCACACTTACAGACTCTTGAGTTATACAAAAACTGTCTTGTAAAGTCCCCTTTATTAACACATTCCTAAATTCTGATATTAATATTGCTTGTACCTGAAGAAAACTATGTAAAGAACAATATGCAGTGAAGTGAACCTGTTATTCCAATAGATCGCTGTTCCTTTGGGTCTCATATGTATATATTAAACTAAATGATCACAGAGAAATAAGGATTCCAAAACAGAGATGGGATGCCACTTAACTGTACTGGTTCTTACAATGAATTAAATTAATCTAGTGCATACCCACCCATGTTACAGGGTGGCTGAAAATAAATGCTAGGATTTCAAACATGAATAACTTAACTTACCCACTGCTCTAGGTATAGAAATGAAATCAACTACATTTCTGTCCAAACCTCTCAAAGTTTTGTTCTGTTATAGTAAAATAAGTTCAATGTGTGTGCTGCTTGTTGCTTCACACATGTCCACATGCCAATCCAGATCTTGCCAGACTTGCATCAGTGTTTCTGGAGCAACACTGTGGACTGCATTGCTGATTCTTTTAGCTCTATACTGGTTGGTGTTGATCAGGTGACATCCTTAACACTCCCTCCCTCCAATAAAAAGGGATTAGATCAGGAGATCTAGGTTGTCAAGAAACTGGTTCTAGTGTTTCAATTCACCTTCCCAGAAAATGTCTATCTGGGCCATGGGAGTGACTAATGAGGAACAAAACTTTGATAGGTGGGGAAAACAATATAATTGGTATTGTTGCTGCATTCTGATGAACCACAGACCCACGCTTAGTTTTCAAGCATTTATTAGTTCAACTTTCTTACTAGCATCTAATAGAACTTGTGTTTTCCTTTATAGTATAAATGTTTATGCTCGATAAATTACCTCCATCAGCATCAACAAATGTTTACCTATGCTACAGATATTGTTCATGTCTACTTAATTTAATGAAGGAGAATGTTGCACAATAAAGACAGTATTCTGTGATAAAATTAGCCAATCTTCATTACTTAATGTACTACATATCACCTTTTATACTTACCCATTTCCATGCTTGAACTTTTTTGACCAGTTTCCACGATAAGCAGTGTAGCGTTTCCTTTTTGTTTGCTGGTTGTCATTATTGAAATATGTTGATTCACCAACATCTGTTGACAACCATTTTGTCTCTTCTAGAGCTTCTTTCTTCTTGGCTTCTGCTTCTATGAGGAATGCTAAGGAATAACAGGCCCAAAGTAAGTCTGAACTGTGAATTACATTTAACAGAGCACAGTTAGTGACTATTATGAGTTTTAAACTGGATCAAATATAATGTATGAACAAATTTTACCATTAAACATACAGTTCAGTCTGCACATATCTTAACCCATTTTTATAAACACAGCTGCAGGACTGAGTGACCTTAGTTGCAAAATGTCCTCAGCTGCATAAATTCAGTCCATACCATTCTACCCTAAGATTCATTTCAATATTATCCTTCCATCTACATCTAGGTTTTCCAAAGCACCTGTGTAAGTCTGAGGACTTGTAAATAATTCTGCAATGTACTGGTTTTTATGGTGAGATGGTGGCATTCCTCCAAACCCCCAAGCTGAAGGAACTTTCCTTGCTGGCTATTCATGACTACTTATTCAATATATTTGCAGCTGCCTCCTGTATCTGCAAACCATCCACTCCATCAACAACCTGAAGATGTCATGTTGTGGTGACAAAGGAACCCACCTAACACGGCTCCCTCAGTAACTGTTTCTAAATTACATACTGTATAATAAAGAACACAACTACATTCAAATATCATTATCATTTTATTAATTTTTCATATCCCTTCTGTCAACAAGAACCTTAGCCTTGATAACAGAGAATCACACTAGCCTGCATCAAAGCTGAAAAAATTCTTTCTTTTCAGTTTGTTAAAGCATCCCACTGGTCTTTTGTGCCTACTCATGCCATTTCCACAATATTTTATGAATATTAATACCACGTAATTTTATCAGATCCAGCTACACAATTGATTACAATAAATATAGTTCAACTGCACTGAGATTAGCAAGGTACATGTGACCACAGATTGCAGAGCTGCAAATTAAAATCCTGTTGGACCCAATCCAGATAAAATACTTTCATATCAAATCTAAAACTTCTTGACGATGGTGAAGAGTCAATTGAATAAAATTTTTCTTGGATATTATCCATCGTCTAGTAAATATAAAACGTAAAACCTTTCAGATTAATAGACTGTTGGATACAATACCTAGGATTAAAAGAAAGTCATCATACAGTCAACAATTCAATACAATGGAAACTCATTATGTAACTTTAAATCTACTGGTCACTGTAACATTTCCAATTCCTACATTTAGCACTACAATAGAAGTGATTTACAATTACATCTTCAATATGAAAAACGCATATGGTATATTGGTAGGTAAATCTTAGAACAGCAGTCACTTGGAAGATGAAGACAGTGACGTGAAGATAACATTAAATATATCTTATGAACAACAACTGGATTCAACCAGTTCAGAATAGGATTATGTGATGTGTTTGTATATTAGTCATGCTAAAACTATGAGTTAAAATACTGGAACTGTTGGTTTGTGCAGTTGGCCAATCAAGTAGGAAGCACTGTAGTAAGAAACATCATCTCACCTTTCTTAGCAGCAGCATGTTGTTGACAGATCTTCAGCAACCCTTCACCATATTTTTCAAAGTTTGCTTTGGTGACATGTGAGATCTGCAACATTTCATCTGCTGTTTCTGGTAGTTTCTGAGACATTGCACGAAGTGCCTAGATAACAAGAGGGTTCACTAATATATTTGTATATAATTTCTACCAGCTCAGTATTATGTGGATGAAGGAGTAGACACCATTAAAAGTAGTCCTCATGGGAGTTGAGACAAACATCCCATTGATGCACCAGCTGATTGATCCCATCCATAAAGAACTCCCTGGGCTGCTGCTGGAACCACTGCAGTCTTGACATCTTCATAGGACTACAAACTATGGCCTTTTAGCACTTTCCTGAGGGGACTGAACACATGGAAATAACACAATGACAGGTCATGACCACACGGAGGATGGTCCAACACCTTCCATCATGTGGGGTACAGCGTGTCTTGGACAGTGCAGGGCACATGGGACAGACACTGTCATGCAACAAAATGACATTCCTCAACAGTATGCCGGGATGCTTCCTCATGATCGTGGTATGATGGTCTTGAAGGGTTCTAAAACAGCACTGTGTACTGATGGCAATGTTAGGGTTCTTCAATGTCAGCATCAGATACTAAAATGAGGTCCTGTTTGAATGGATTCCACACTTGTAATGCTGACATTTAATCAAGTCATGCTGTTCACATTTGCTTTACTGTGCCTAATCTGATGCACACATCATGGCCAACTACTGATGTGTCATGCACACAGGCATGTGAACCCCTGTGACTAGTAACATACACTAGTGATGTATACAAATGGGTTTCTTTAGAACAACCCTCACATGTTTAACTTTGAATGAAGTTTTATAAAAATCCATAAACTTATTAATTAATAAATTAAGGGGGATGACACAGACTTGATCATACCATAACCCTGCCTTACAAAATAAATAAAGCAGGCTAAAAAGGCAAACATAAAGACTACCTAGGAAGAAAGTAAGATGGGATATAATGAATAAAGATTAAACTTTTTACCTGAACATTCATAATGGAAGCACTGCTGACTCCCAAAGAGTATGCTATACAACGGCATACATCTATAAGCTCATGGTAGCACCTCTCCTGTAATGCCTGCAGCTCTGAATTGGCAGGACTGTCTGTGGTTGAAATGGAGCTCCTAGTACTGTTTATATCCTGCTTTTTTGATGTGGAGCCTCTCATTGGAAACATTATCTGCAACAAATTAAAGCAGCACCTTAAAACTGTTCATGATGAAAAATTGGCACCTTCATTCAGGAGAATTCACAATTCTAAACAAACTGAAGTTACAAAACAGTACAATTATTAGCATTTGTAGGATTGGAGGTTTTCATGGCGGTGAGTCTGAAGATTGCTGTCTTCTGGGTCGTTGTGCCATGTAGTCTGGTGTATGTCCACCAACGTTTCAGAGGTCCATGCTGACTTCATCATCAGGGGAATGAACCATGCAAGCGGTAAGTGCTAGAGTTATAGGGACTAGAGAGTAAAAGGAGTAGCCTAATTCTAACCAGTGGGGACTGGTGTCAGAATCAGATGTGGGGGTGGGAACCAATAGAAGTGTGTGGGCGTGTCGTAGTGTGTGTGTGTGAGACATGGAGAGAAGGAAAGAAAGAGAGAGAGAGGTCTGAGAAACAGTCCTTTTGAGGGCCTAAGGAGTCCATGAGGTGGGACAGAGGACATACGGGAGTTGGGCAGTCAAGATGCGGGGGGAAGCAGGAGAGTGGAAGGGAGCACTGGCTGGGGCCAGATATGCCCTGAAAAGAGCAGAGTAGGGATTAGTGGCCTGAGTCGAACAAGCAATGCTCTCTGGGATGCTTCTGGAGCCCTTGGAGAGAGTAAATGAGGGGTTTCCATGACCGGATCAGGTGAAATCCATCCTCCCTGCTGAAGTTGTTAAAATGCAATTCAATTTTGATGCCTCCCCGATCATCCAATCCATGTATCCAGATTTTGTTGACAGGATAGAGGTGTCCTGGAGTTGGATTTGGTAGCCCAGGTTGAAGCAATGCTCAGCCTCGGCAGATTATTCAGGTTGCTCCAGCCAGATGTGGTGCTGGTTCTCCTTGACCCTAGTTTCGACAGAACGGCCTGTCTGTCAAATGTACACTTTGCCGCACTCAAAGGGAATGCTGTTTATTTTCCTCTTTTTTCATTCTCATATCCCAAAATTAGAAGAAGGAAAAGGGAGAGAAAATGGAGGGAAGTGGATAGTTTAATGGAGTAATGAGAAGAACTCTTAAATGGAGGCAGTATGTTCCTCTGAAATGTTGGACTCTACCTATAAAAACACATGGCAACATAAATCACAAAATCAACATTAGTATAAGTTGTCTCTTCCATTAGCTTAAATACAAATTTCACTGCATTTAATATGCACATTTTAGGAGTTGATAATATGATTGGTTGTCATTAATCCTGACAGTTTATATTTTTCTTTTATAATATATGTTTTCATTCCTGATATACCAAATGGTTTCCTGCATCTTGTTTTCACACAAAAATGTAAAAAGGCATTATTTGGATAAATATAATATTTTCCTCACATCTCCATCCAGCTCAATAATACCACACCTTGTATCTTCCAGAAATCAAGTCTTCGCCTTTTGACCCAACTTTGATATAGGCACATGTAATATCTTCCCTGGTAACCACCAGATCTTCCATCAGAAATTCTTCAATTGTTAACTTGCGTAGCAACCTTTCTACATCACTTCGCACCCATGTTTTACCCCGTCCATATAGTGAAAGCTTGTTGTGTCCTAAGAATGGAAAATCAAAATACACTAAAGGACCTTGAACAGAACACTAAAATAAATGACAACTGTTAATATACAGAGTAGTGGGCAAGAAAAATCAATAAAATTCACTAGATGACCAACCGTTTCATGCAGTACAACTAAAATTAATGTCAGTAACACAACTGAAATTAAAATATTATGCTCATTATAGTTTTGGTTCAGAGAAACAATGAAATGCATTGTCTACCAATGGTTCTGCATGTATATCTCAACACAAAACATAGAAACAACTTACATTAATTTGAGGCATCATTACATCACAGACAAGTATTAAAAGCATATTCCACCAGCATGATTACACCACTAATTTTAACATGCATCATTTTGTCGTGTATTATACATCATAAGCTCATAAGCTGCAACAGCCTAAGCAGTTAAGACACAAACACCACACTACCAGTATCATTACTGCTACTACCAATGTTAACACTCTTACTGCTACTGCTATGACAATTATACTCTCAATTTTCATAAAAACTACTTTAATAATATCTGCATACTTTACAAAGACCTATCACACAAAATTTCAAATCAAACACTTATTTCTGCTTCACAAGCCTGTATGACTGCCATGCTGATATTGTGGGTGACATGGAGTTGAAATGAATGATAACAATTGGAAGGTCTACACTGGCAGAATGTTCAGAAACACCAAACTACTAGTGTCCACTATACTGATGTCTGTAGTTTAAATATGAGACTGACCCACAAAAATACAGGTAATAGGTTATGCAGCTCTCTAAAAGAAATCTGAAAAATGAACTCTGTTCCTTTGGAACACTGAAACAGAAGTAATGAATTTTAGAAAATAATACAAAAATTTTCAAACTGGAGAGCAAAACTGCCATTATCGTACATACCAATTCAAGGATTAAGCAGGCACAAGTCAACTTCCAGTTGACTGACAGTGCAATAAACACAAATGCATACAAATTGAATTTTAAATGTAGTCAGTTAATCTAAAGGCAAGTATCTTACCACAGTCTTTAATTTTCTTAATATCACTGCCTTTAAATATATCAACCATATGCAGAAGAGTGAAGTTATTACTCCACGATCCAATTTTCCCACAGATCTGTTTCACACACTTCACAATTTCTTGACAGTCAGTTGTTACATCCACAATGTGATACAGCGCCTAGGACATGTAAGACATTATATTGGGCGTACATTACAATACTGTAAACACAAGTGTTTGTTCTTAACATTTTATACTTCTATTTTTAACAGATTAAACCAGAGCAGAAACATATATTCCAATTTGGAATGCACATTGAGACTCCATTTGAAATCCAGTCTTTCTCAGCAGGCAGCCAGCATTTCTGGCATACCAACTCAGGGAGTTGACAGTATCAGCCAAACTGGGAAAGCTGAGAAGACAGCCAGGGGCAGGGGCTCACCAGTTGTGAGAAATCTATCTTTATTATTTACAGATGTAATTTTTCTGGGAGCCAGTAGCTCTGGCAAATCACAACAGGGAGCTGGCAGTTCCAGAAAACCTGTGGATGAAGGTGATCTACATAGTCTGGAAGTGTCAGGAGGGAACTTAAAATCCAGGAAGAGTCAAAGTAGTACTGGGGTCTTGTGGCAACTGGTGTACATGGAATGACCCAAGTCCGGGGAGACTATTAGGCCCAAGTCTGAGGTTAGTACCCTAATTAAAGAGGTTAATCCTCTCTAAGGAACTGTAGACTATGGGACCAGAGACCTATAAGGCCTTAATAATGGCCACCAATAAAACAGCTCTTTAACACAGAGATTCCATATAAAAGTCAATTCCTTTCAGCAGATAGTCATATTCTGGCATATTACCTTGGGGAGCTGATAACAGCCAACCCAGGGAAGATAGTATGTATCAGAAATGAC